CATATACCGTCAATTAATTGTCTAATTTACGTTCCTCTAGCTCTATTAAATCATGGGCATGCACTGCACCACAATTACGTGAAATTCTATTCCAAGAACTATATCAAAATATTTAAGAGTCATATTAACTAGCTGCTTGAGTTTGTCACGCACACACACACACACACACACGCACACACATGCACACCCATACGCTTGTAATTGTACAATTACGCGGGTAAATTATTATGCGATAAAGCACGCAGCATGCAATCTGAGCCTTGGTATATACACATACACATTGGACATTTAATAGGCAGTCAGGTTCACAGGTTCCCAGAAATTCCATAACCCTTTCAGAGACGCACACACACACAGAGACAGGGCTTTGCATGTGTAAATGTGTCGGAAGTCGGAAAACAATTTGAGGGCTCAGCTGAGCGAACATGTTAACACGTCAAGTCATTTTAGTTAATTTCGATTTCAATTTCAGTTGACAAAGATATATACGAATATATATATACACATACATACATATAAACATATCGATGGCTACTGAATTATTGAGCATGGAATTTAACTTTCGGGTCTAGAAAATAACCGAAATACTGTCATCATAAAATAAGTAATTATACCCAAGTGCCTGCTCAATTATCTTTAAGCAGCATAACGCTTAATTGTGCATGTGGCTGGAGGTGTTGTTGTCGGATTAGGGGAGCTATACATTGTTGTTGTTGTTATTGTTGTTGCTGCTGCTGCTGATAGAACAAAGCTTTGCGCTTCAGTGCTGCTTTACCTTTGGCTTTGTAGCACTGGCTTTTGAGACATCACACAATTCCCAGCCAGAGAGAGAGAGAGAGAGAGAGTGAGAGACACAGATATGGAGAGCGAGACAGGTGAAATGATGAAGCATGAGTCGAACCCCTAAGCAACCATCATTACCTTGAACCCCCCTTAGAGCAGTGCTCGAGTTGGACTCCCTCCCCGCTCCGCTTCTCAACACATTCGCATTCATATTTCAATTACTTTTTATGTGATTTTCGCTTTTGTTATTGCTAAGCTCTGCATATTTGTATTTATGTTTTGTTTTCTTTTTGTTTGCTTTTGTATTTTCACTTTCATTTCCATTCCCTTCAATTGGGCTGTTCACGTCCGAGTCCGTGTCCGTGTCGGAGTCGGTGTCGGTGTCCGGGTGTCGAGATTTGGTCTTTGAGATTATACGACGGCCGTCTGGCTGTAGCTAAAATGCTAATGAATATTAATGCGAACGGTTGGGTTTTTGTGGCTGCTTATTGAGTGTGTAATTGAGCTGAGAGGGCAGAAGCCGAGGGCGCTATGAATTGGTATATATATATTTATATATGTACGCATTGGGGGTTATCTGTGATTTGATGGAGCTGTTTCGTACCTTATACGGTCCCAGGTCCTGCACGACGCACGTGAGGAAGGCGTCACGTCCCACCGGCGCTGTCACATTCGCAATGGGATAGCTGAATTTGGGATCGACTGTAATAGAGCAGAGGATTCATTTTGTCATATTAATAATCTCAACGAATCAATGTTAATTGCCATATAATAAAGTGAGCAAATCGAAAAAAATAAATACACAAATGACAATTGAACGCGCCTTACAAAGCCTATTATAATGGGATTCATTTCATTTTGGTTTGATATCACCTATACTAATTTGATATATGTATGTATAATATAGAAAGTGTGCGTTAATCGGCAATTGAAAGAATGAATTTTGAATATTTATTTCGGTATTAATTGTTGCATTTTATTGGAGGATTATACTCGCTTGTTTAACTATTGAATTGTGTTTTGCTGTGA